GGCTCTGCGATAGGGAGAGGTCACGAGCGCAGGGGGGGGGAGGCTCTTTCCTGGCGGTCCCAGTGGGGTGCAAGAAGCAACTCGCCGGGCATCAACCAGCCTGGAGGATGGGGCCCGCGGTAGCAAAGTCTGATTTCAATCTTCCAAACCAGCATTACTAGGCAGCAGAAGCCCGAGGACGCGTTTCTTGGTCCAGGAATGCAGTGAATGAAACTTATTTCTCCTCCTGCGGGGGAGGGCAGTGATGCAGTGCGGATCTCGCGGGCGCTGCTGCTGCCCCCAAGGGGAAGGAGAAGCTGACGGAGCGCCTGAGCCGTGCCAGCTCCTGCAGCAAGCAGCCTGAGTTTAAACTTCACTGCGGTTCGGGATTGAGAGTCTCTCTCGCCTAAATTGTCCTGAAGGGACCAGTGACTTTTCCTTTTCCAAAGTGGGAGCTATTCACGTCAGTTATTCACAACGACACATCAAGAAAAGTAGGCAGGTTCAAGTCAACCATGAAATGGTCACTTTTTAACCCCGTCCTGTCCTCATTAGGGAAATACTCAAACACAGCCCATTTTCAAAGAGGGCTCTTAATGAGGAGAGCTTGCCAAGTCTACCAGCTGCAATTCCCATAAATTTACAAGCCAAAGGAAGGGGGAAAGGGAGGGGGCTCGTACAAGACAGGTAATGTCAAAGGAAACAGCGGGAACCCAAGACATTAACCCTTAGGAGAAACCTATATGCATACATTTGGGTGGGTAGTTGCACTTCCAAGCTCTGAATATCACTGTTTGAACAAGTCACGTCTCCTTGCCCTTTTAAGGATCGTACTAAAAAGTGACAAGCCAATTTGGAGCACGCGCTTAGACAATAAGTGATGAAGCAAACTCGAGGTTAACGCTAGTGGACACATTTAATTTCATATCTTGCACAGAAAACACCAGATCCTATCATATTTCCCCCCCCCCCTTTTTTTTACAGACACTGCAAAAAGCTGATAACGCCAGCTATATTGGAGTTTCTCTTTGAATAAATATTCAATGGAACTGGAGTTAATTTACCATAAAAGACATTCCCCTTGGCACAAACGCACTAATGTCCTTGAACACCTCTTTAAGCGCTTGGACTCCTACACAACAAGCCATTACGGTGGGTCTGCTCTAACGCGGCAATATCTTTCTCACTTCTCTCCCTAACCCACCTCAGACTTTCCTTAAAAAAAGAAAGAAGAAGAAGAAGAAGCAACCCTCTGGAAATGCGGCCTCTGTAAACTTCACAGAGTCTATAACTAGCCCCTCCCCCAGGCAGAAATACCAGAAGGCCCATTCCTAAGTACTGGGTAAGGGACCCTTTTTTCGCCAAGGACATTTACACTAAAAGCAACAAAGTGTGACAAGCTTTTCAGATCGATCAGCGAGACAAAGAAGGGGCGCAAGGTAAGGAGAGCCAGGGAGGCTGAGGGTTTCACAATCAGGAAGAAACTCTAGAGTGAAATGGGTGCGGTTGTTCTCCCTCGCACACACACGAACAGGAAAAAGAACAGGGGATTGATTACACATGCATGTATATATTCGCTGTTATTAATAACTGGTTTTTACTTCCACTGAGACAAAGATCAGCCAGAGAGGGAGTGAGCGAGAGCTGAGTCTCACTGCCTGGGGTCCCCATGTGGACGGCTGTGTCTGTCTCCCTCTGTCCTCAGGCGCCCTGCACACACACCGCCTGGCCCCTCCACTCACTAACACTGGAGGACCAGCAAATCAGCGCTACTTGTTCAACGAAATACCACACCAACTCCAGGCCTTTCCAGGAATAGATTTGTTAGCTTGGGTAACCAAACTCATTCTTAGGAAGACTTCCGTGGGGAGGGAGTGGAAACGCTATGATGATTAATCCCAATGAATGCCCCCCTCTCTAATAAGTAAAATAGAATCACAGCATGCTAATAGCGTCTCAGGACTAGAGAAAGTTTTACTCTCAGATACAAAGGTACAGCAACTCGCTTACAGCAAGACTACTCCCCCCTTCTTTTTTTTTTCTTCCTCTCGCGTCTCCCTGCCTCCTCCGGCTAGGATCGCCTCTTCAGTAAATTAACCCACGAAAGATCCTATGTGGTAGAACAGCCCCTGTGGCAGAGCAATTTGGCATTTTACACTACAGGAAAACAAACAAAAGAAAAGTTCCCCTTTCAAATTAGAAAAGTTAAATGGGCATACGATGGTGATTTTTTTTACTTTGTGGGGGAAAGACCCCAAATTATCAAAACAAATCTTTAAAAACGTTTTAAAAGTTATTTGCTTAGGTTCAGATGTATATGAATACTGATGTCTCATGTACCTAAGTAGTGAAAACAAACCATAACTGCGAATGGGCGTTGGCATGCAGCGAAATTATTTATGAAGGTAGCTCAAACACCTCAGAGCACCTAAAAATGAGCGACTATTGTTGCAAATTCTGTATTATTTAATATCCTGACTTTCTGGCAATTTCTCATCACACATAGTTTCCTACCATGGCAATTTTGGCTTCTGTATTTGAAATACTTGAGGTAAACAGACCTTCATATAGTGTTTAAAATCCACATAGGTATGTAATATTAATACATACACCCACACACACAAATCGCCCACCTGACCTAACCATTGAGTGACACTGAGAACTGCTTTGATCTGCGTTAGTGCTTAGAGAACCTGCTATTCTATCACAGGAATGGGAACAGTATATTCTGCCAGTGACAGCTTAGAGGAGTGATGTGAGTATGCATTTTATATTATGTGAAAACTTCATAAAACAAATATCCACAACGGAAGCGAAGACTACTGTGGGAGAGAAAGAGTAAAATGCCTGTTTGTTAGATCGCAGTTGTCGAATCTGTATTTTAAATTCTCTCTCGGAAAATTAATACCATTCTGGAGTTTCCTCTTCCCAGCATCCTCTAAAACCCCTTATCTGGCATCCTATACTTATTTCACTGGGAGCTATTTGCGTTCCCTGGGGACAAAACTAAGCTGAGAAAATCACTGTTAATAACGTTATTGTCGAAATACCAACGCACGCAGTTATACAGGAATCGCGTCTCACTGTGCCTATATTTCACGTACATTGGTAGCTTGAAACTCACTGGGCAGCACTGATTTCAAATACAATCTGAGACTAGCGAACTCGACTACATGGAAAACTAGAAACACTTTTTTTAAATGAAAGGCCAAACAAACTTTCTCTGCCTTCCCCCCCCCTTCCCCCGCAGCAGGTTTCCACGCACGATTCAGACTTGTAGTTCGATTGGACTCCCGTGGAAACAAACGCTCTTACTGTTTTAACACAATATCTGCACGTTCTAAAGAGCGTTTGTAGTTATATTTCCAGAGGATCATAAAAGTTAAAAATGGTAAGGCCCGTTATGTCATCAAGACTCTATTCTTTCTAATATAAGATTCCAGTTGATATCCTTTGTTCTAATATTTTGTTTAATTAATCTTATCGTTTATGCCTCAAAATCAAGAGAAGGATATTGTTAATGTTGGCCTGTATATAATCTGACTATTTTAGTATACAAAGTTGTGAATTTCCTAATTTTCTAATTAGCCATTTCTGTCTGAATATTCTCTAATCGTGCATTAAAAAAAAACAACGTTCGGACATTTGGCAGGTATTTCAAATAATTTAGTACACAATAATCGCCTACTCTTAAATTTCTATTTCAAGAGGCTCTTGTGACTCAAAAGCTGTACGCAGCAATCCATGTTGTAACATCAACTTTTCAACTTCATTCACAGTAAGAAAATTAAGCTTTTACTCGTTACATACACAAACATTTACATGTG